GAGACAGAGTCTCAAGCTGTTGCCCTGGGTAAAGTGTCATGGCATCACAGCTCATAGCAACCTCAAACTCTTGGGTGACTCTCTTGCCTCAGCCTCCCAAGCAGCTAAGACTACAGGCATCTGCCACAAAGCCCCGCTTTTTTTTTTTTGGTTGCAGTTGTCATTGTTGTTTAGCTGGCCCAGGCTGGGTTCAAATCTGCCAGCCTCAGTGTATGTGGTCAGTGCTGTACCCACTGAGCTACGGGCACCGCCTATTTCCAATTCTTGATCATTGTGAACAGTGCTGCCATGAGGTTTATAAGGTTTTGTGTGGACATACAGTTTCAGTTGTATTTACAGGTGACTCTTGAATAATGTGGGGGTTAGAGGCACCACCCACCACCACCACCCCACACCACCACCACCCCGTTGAAAATCAGCATATAGGGCGGTGCCTGTGGCTCAAAGGAGTAGGGCGCCAGCCCCATATGCCAGAAGTGGTAGGTTCAAACCCAGCCCCAGCCAAAAACTGAAAAAAAAAAAAAAAGAAAATCAGCATATAAATTTGACTCCCCCAGAACTACTTCTATTGGCTGGAAGTCTTACCAATAATATAAACATTTGACTAACAGATTTTGTAGGTTATTTGTATTATATAGTATATTCTTACAATAAAGTAAGCTAGAGAAAATTTCATTAAGAAGATCACAAGGAAGAGAAAATCCATGTATAATGCTGTATTGTGTTTATCAATACCACAGGTTTACATTGTCTATTTATAAGATGAATTGTCTGAGATGGTGGGCCACAGACTTCAATCCATGGTACATATCAAGCAGTTCAGTTTTTTCGTGTAGTGTCATGACTTTTCTCTGCTTCTTGGGAGCACTTGCAGCACCACTAGTATACCCATCACTCGTATGGGTCCCCTGGTGTTATTCAAGGTTTCTGGTATTGTACTGAACACGATGATAAGTACATAAGAACTGTGAGAGCTTCCTTTTTACAGTGATATGCAATTTACTGGAGAGATGAACACTCACAGAGATGATTAGCATCACTCGGCGTTTTAAGTGGATACCCAGAACACGTGGCCTCACTGCAATGGCAACAGGAGGTGGCTGTGAAACTATTACAGTACTACCATATGTACTGCAGTTAATTTTATGCAGTGATGATTTAATACTGCATCTTTATGTTTGCTTTCATTTCTCTCGACTGTGAATGGTGACACATATGGTCTGTACGTGTGAGCATAAGCTTCTATTAGATTTGTGTGTATTTTATGGTAGTAAATGATAAAATCAACGATTATCTGCACATATTTTATGCATTTATGACCATTTTCTTAATTTTTTAGATATTTCAGCTGGATACAGTGGCTCACACCTGTAATCTTAGCACTCTTGGAGGCTGAGACAGGTGTATCACTTGAGCTCAGGAGTTCAAGACCAGCCTAAGCAAGAGTGAGACCCCCATCTCTGCTAAAAATAGAAAAACTATCCAGGCATTGAGGACATTGTAGTGGGTGCCTGTAGTCTCAGCTACTCAAGAGGCTAAGGCAGGAGTACGGCTTGAGCCAAGAGTTTGAGGTTGCTGTGAGCTATGGTATCACGGCACTCTACCCAGACTAAGACTTTGTCCCAAAAGTAAATAAATAAATATTTAAATACATAAATAAATAAAAATTAAAAAATAAGTATTTCTAGTCTAAGTAGTTTGAAAAATTTTCGAATTATCACAAATCTCCACAAAATTTTCTAATATATTTATTGAAAAAAATCCATATATTAAGTGGATCTGCAAAGTTCAAACCCATGTTGTTAAGGGTAACCTGAATATGTAGGAGTGGAATTGCTGGGTTGTATGGTAACTTTAGGTTTGAGGGACTGCCCGCCTGTTTTCCAAAGAGGGTACTGTTTTACACTGCCAGCAGCAGTGAGAGAGTTCCCTGCTTCTTCATCAACACTTTTTATTGTCTGCTCTCTTGACTATAGCTATCCTAATGTGTTTGAAGTGGTATGTCATTATAATTTGATTTGCATTTCCTGATGGCTGATGATGCTGTGTACCCTTTTTTTTTTTTTTTTTGAGACAGAGTCTCACTATGTCGCCCTGGGTAGAATGTCGTGGCGTCCCAGCAACCTCAAACTCTTGGGCTTAAGCAGTTCTCTTGTCTCAGCCTCCCAAGTAGCTGGGACCACAGGCACCCACCACAACTCCCAGTTATTTTTTGGTTGTAGTTGTCATTGTCGTTTGGCAGACCCAGGCTGGATTTGAACCCGCCAGCTCTAGCCTCTGAGTTACAGGCAGTGAGCCTGCTAAATCGCCCGGCTATTGTACCTTTTTATATACTTATTAGACCTTGTGTGTCTTCTTTAGAAATGTCTGTGCAAGTCCTTTGACCTTTAAAATTGAATTGTCTTTTTATTGTTGAGTTGTAAGACTCTGGTCATTATCAGAGACATGATTGGCAAATATTTTCTCCCGTTCTGTCTTTCTACTTTCTTCATAGTATTCTTTGAAAGATAAAATTTTTTAATTTTGATGAAGTCTAATTAATCTATATTTTCTGTTATCATTTGTTCTTTAGGTGTCATATCTAAGCAACCATCACCTAATCACAGGTCATGAACAATTAGTCTTTTAATTTCCTCTAAGAGTTTGATAATTTTAGTTCATATGTTTTAGGTCTTTGATTAATTTTGAATTAATTTTTATATATAGTATTAGATAGGTTTTATCACTCCACCAAAGCAGGAGTCCAACTTCATTCTGTGCAAGATAATTTAGTTATACTAGAATATTAGAGCAGACCACGGGAGTTAGATGCTCCAGCCCCTTAACTGTAGCGATGACGAACTTGTGATATTGTGAGGTTTCAATTGAGGGGCAAACACTGACTCTAATGACCTAAAATACCTCCTAATTCTAAGGAAGATTAGAGCATATTCTTCATGGTTTAAGAGTTCAGTGAATTTTAATAGCATTTCTAAAATTTGAAAGCTAGAACTTCTGACATGTCCTATGTATAGTAACACGAGAACATTACATGTCCTTATAACAGATGAAATGTCAAACTTAGTGTCTTTTTTTTTGAGACAGAGTCTCACTGTGTTGCCCTGGGTAGAGTGCTATGGCATCACAGCTCACAGCAACCTCAAACTCTTGGGCTTAAGTGATTCTCTTGCATCAGTCTCCCAAGTAACTGGGACTACGAGCACCTACCACAACACCCAGCTACTTTTTGGTTGTGGTGGTTGTTGCTTGGCAGGCCCGAGCTGGATTTGAACCTGCCAACTCTGGTGTATGTGGCTGGCACCCTAGCCACTGAGCTACAGGTGCTGAGCCCTCAGTGTCATATTTTTAAAGATTTCAATTCTTGGTTGGATAGCTAATAGTAGTTGAAATGCAAGTTCAGACTGTGGCTGTATCTGGCTCAAAATAAATAGATAATATATGATGAAAGAAAATAAACTCCAAATGGATTAAAAAGTTAGAAAGCTTGAAATGTTAAAAGATGCTTTTAAACATTTTGAAAAAGATGCTAAAGCATCCTATAAAGCCAGAGCATGGGATGATGATGTTATATCAGCAGAGGAGCACTAGGGAGAACCATGAACTGGCTCAGGCATGCGCAGGGGAAGGGATGGTTTGGAAGGGGGAGCTGGACCCCTACCTTATGCCGTACTCGAATACATCGATGGGTGAAAGATTCTACTTGTTATTCTCTTTACACTGAATTGAGGAATGCATGCTAGTGACAGTAAAAAAATCAAACAGTGCAGGTAAAATGGACTTCTTCCTTGACTTCCTCTTCCTCTCTCTGCCTAGCCTCACTTCAACTGTTAGGCATTTGGTGTGTGCTCTTCCTGGCTGGTTTGAATATGTACACATACAACCTCTATGTAATACTTTTTATGTGCGTATTTTTTTGAAATAGGGTCTTGCTCTGTCACCCTGGCTATAGTGCAGTGGCATCATCATAGCTCACTGCAACCTCAAATTCCTGGGCTTAAGAGATCTTCTGGCTCAGCACCCATAGCTCAGTGAGTAGGGTGTTGGCCACATACACTGAAGCTGGCAGGTTCGAGCCCAGCCTGAGCCTGCTAAAAACAACAATGACAACTACAACCCCCCCTCAAAGCCAGGTGTTATGGTGGGCGCCTGTAGTCCCATTTACTTCAGAGGCTGAGGCAAGAGAATTGCATAAGCCCAAGAGTTGGAGGTTGCTGTGACTTGTGACACCACAACACTCTACCAAAGGCAACATAGTGAGACTCTGTCTCAAAAAACAAACAAACAAACAAACACATCCGCCTGCCTCAGCTTCCATGTTGGGCTAAGATTTCTGTATTTTGTAGAGATGGGGTCTTAGTCTTGCTCAGTCTGTCTTGAACTATTGGCTTTAAGTGATTCTCCCACCTCGGCATCCCAGCGTGCTAGGATTACCGTGCCTTGGCCTTTTTGTGTGTATTTTTTATAACACAAAGATGATTATGTTCATGTTTAGATATTCATATTTGATAACTTGCTTTTTCACACCACTTACTAGGGTATCTCAGGGACCTTTACAGATCAGTACACATGGGTTTACCTCATTCTTCTTATTAAATGTTTTTTTGTTTATGGGTTCTCGCTATGCCCAGGCTGAACTCAACTTCTGCGATCAGGCGTTCCTTCTGCCTCAGCCTTCCAAGGGGCTGGGACTACAAGCCTGTGCCATCATGGCTGGCTAGCATTTTAAATTTTAATAAGTCCTGTCAAAGTGCCATCCAGAAAAGACCTTCGGAAATGACACTTTCGTGAACAGTTTTCCATGCTCTTGATGACTTTTTAAAAATTGAAATTAATCCAATCGGCAGAAATGAGGCAGAAACTTATTTTTTTGTTTTCTTTATAAGCAGAAAAATAAATTTGTGAAAAGTGTTACTTAGTTTTTTTTATTCTTTAGCCTCTACATAGGAAACTGCCTGGGGCTTAATTTGGCAGTACATATACTAAAATTAGAGCAATACAGAGAAGATTAGCATGATCCCTGCACAACCACGACATGCAAATTCATGGAACATTCCATATTTTTAAACTCAACATACTTAAAGATAAAAAAAAAAGAAAGAAAGAAAGAAAACTACCTAGAAATGAAATGAGATTAGGAGAATTTCATTATCTAAACTAAGTAGTGTCTCAGGTTGTTTTAAAATAATAAATGGATATTGTTTTTGGTACTTGAAAAGTGATAAAGATATTTTTTAAAAGAAAATCAGACAAAACCTTCTTACAGGGTAGTTTACTAATCCACAATTTCTATCTTAGTGCTGAGCAGGCCTAGAACTGAGGGTGGCGGGTAAACTGTATATTAAAAGACTTTGTTTCCTTATAGCAGACAGACCTCACTTTGGCAGGACCGATTGTCAACTAAAGGCTCAGTATTTGACATCTTGCAATGATGGGTTTGTGTTAAGATAGATGGTTGTGTGCATGTGCTTGCCAGGTCTATTCATAGAAGACTTTGGAGTAGCAGGCGGGGGATACTTGTCAACCGTATTCTTTATTCCATTAGTTTGTTCTTATAATGCCCATGTGATTTTCTCTGCTCTTGTGCATTAAGTAAAAATTGAATGTTGTCACTTTAGTTAGGTCCTAGGGATTAACAATTCATTGATAAGGATTATCATCTACTTGGATGCTTTCTTTAGACTTCTGTTACCATGAAGTGACTCATTTCTTTGTATGATGGTCATATGTAGTTCACAGCTGACCTTTATTATTGACAAAAAGGACAGTTCCAAGGGAAAAGTACAGCCACCTGTTATCTAGGGGCCATTAACTCCTTCCTGTTGGGCTCCTGTTTCCTGCCTGCAGGGGCTTAGGGCAATGGCCGTGGTGGGATAGGGCCTGTGACTTACCCATTGGGATTGTGTCCATCTTGTAGGGAAGTTGGTGACAGTTATTTCACACATATGCCATCGACCTTCCCTTGTTGGTGTCCCTTTTATCACCAAGATCTTTTGTGTCAGTTCTTAGACAGGCTCTGGAAACTGTGTCACAGGGTTAGGACTTTAATGCTGAGATAAGATTCTGAAAGAAGGCAATTAAGGTGGTAGGTGCAAAGCTACATAAACAATTGTGGTTCTGCCTGCATTTTAGGAACAAAATAGTAATCCTTGCCATTAATTGACTGCCAAGTCTCAGGCTCCAGGATGGGTACTCTTTGTAAATCATTATTTCATTTTATTTCTCAAAAAGTCCATTTTGGATCCTATAATCTCACACCTAGCATGTGGCCAACACTGGATTGAGAGTGGGGTTTGTGCTAATCCACACTCGGGAAAATCTTCACTAAGTGGGGCCCTTTCCTCTCATTCAACATATTTTAAGTACCTCCTATGGGCCAGGCATTGTTCTTGGGCTAAGAATCCAGAGATAATAGTTCAAACGGTTTATAGTTTAATAAAGAGGCCCTCATTTAATTGGCAGTGTTGTATATTTTAATTTTAGGAGAAAATTAACCCCAGGAACAAACTTCCTAAGAGATACTTTTCTGTAGTGAAAAAACAATCCATTCTTCTAAGGATTTGTTTTCAGGACAATACACATTAAGTCCGGTCTCCTGGACGTGAATGTTGATGCCACCCTAGTCAGAAACGTCATTCTGAACAACCATGTTAGGCGACTGTGTGGTATTCTATCACCAGAAATATCTTAGCTCTGTTTACTCCTCATACCAACCTTTTCTCAGACGTCTAAGAAGCAGCTTTATTGACACAGAGACAAATAGGAATTTAAACCCACATTTTAGTAATTTAGTACTAATTTATAATTAGCATAGGAGCATTTTATCTTTTCTATAAATCTTGTAAGCCAAGTTGATACTTGTGTGTCATTGATGAATTCAATTCCAATTCCAAGTTCCCAGTGGTTGTTGGCAGATACGGTCTGACCCCTTCATGTCCCCACTTTCTCCCTCATTCTCAGCCACCAAACTCTTTTCATCCTGACCTGCCCACTTTGTGTACGCTCTGCCCGTCATACTTCCCATTTACCCTACTGCCCACCTGGGTAGCTTACTTTCTGCCTCCAGGTCTCAGCTGAAATGGCATTTCCTTGGAAAAACTTCCCCATCCCCTAATCTTCAACAGGGGATCTTCCCTCTATTCTTCTTTCTCAAAGCACCTTTACGCACTTATCTCAAACATAGCTTTGCATTTTGTATCCGCACACCTGCCTGTGAAGATACCTCCAGAGCAAGGACTACGTCTGTTCTCTTCACCTGTTCTCTAAATATTCACCGTAGTGTCTCACTTATTGTTCGCTTTTACTAAATAGTGCATGGATGAGTGCATGGACAGATGGACGTATGGAATTGTTCTTTTACTGAACAAATACAGATTTCCTCTGATGTACAGTGGTTTGATTTAGGACTTTTTTTTTCCTTTATGGTGATGCAAAAGTGCTACGCATTTAGTAGACACCATCCTCCAGTACTATAGTCAATAAGTAACACAAGATAGTCAACACTTGATCATAAAAATTTTAAGTGTTAAGTGATTTTGCCCAACTGTAAGCTAACGTAAGTGTTTAGACCATGCTTAAGGTGGGCTAGCTACCTATGGTGTTTGGTAGGTCAGGTTTATTAAGTGGTATTTTCAACTTCATGATATTTTCAACTTCTGGGTTTGTTGGAGCAAGACCCCGTCTTAAGTTGAGGAGCATCTGTATTTGAGTACAGTGACATGTCAGGCACTTTCTAATGCTGGGCCTGTTGCAGTGAGTAAAACGTCAGCTCGAACTTCTTCCTTTCTTGCAGGGCCTGGGTATAGAAAAGGAACTCAGTGAGTCAGGTGGTGGTGAGTACCATGGTGAAAAAAGGCAGAGCAAGGCGGGGAGAGAGAAAAGGTGGGGTTGCTGCTGTACATGGGTGTCAGGGAAGGCCACACAGAGAAGCTGATATTTGAGCAGGGGTCTAGAGGATGTGAGGGGATGAGTCATATCTCCTTGACCGCCGAGAAGCTAAATCCTCAGTGTTCCACGTTTTCACAGTGATTTCCAGTCGGGTGTTTATTGTGTCACACGGTGCCATTGTAGTGTCTGCCACACACCTGAAACTGAATATGCAAGGTCCCCTGGAGGGAGAGCCCGTGGGATGGTACAAGCTGCCTTTTTCTTGTGAAAGGGACAATTCCAGGAAAAGAAAAAGAAGGTATTTATGGGACACATTTTTTATATTCAGTTCATTTTTTTATACTCTCGAGGAAGTGATGGATTATTTTAAAATGTGAATTTTCTTCTTTCTCCTCTTGAGAGTCAATATGAACTTAATAAGACCAAGGTTCCATTACAGTTTATTCTGGGCTTGGCAGGTTCAGCTCCATTTAGATGTCATTGATTACCTTTCTCTGCATCTGCTGTAGAATTTTACAGGAGTCATTGAATAACAGGATCAAATATTTCACTTACTCTGAATAAAATATGGTGGTCTGGTTGTAAGAGTTTCCTCCAAGTGGGACAGGTGGATGTTATGTGCCCAGTTTGGATAGCAGGAAAGCCACTTCTTATTGCCAGGAAAGCCCCTAGAACCAGCTGGCCTTTGTAAGCTGGGAGAGAGAGTGAATAAGGCAGTAAATCCCTGGGCAGTGGCCGGAGCAGGAAGGTTGTTAGAGTCTCCAGTGTAGGGACCACAAAGGAAAGGAAACCCAAGGGTTCATTTTCCTTTGCCCGAAGCTGTGAACCCGGTTATATGTGAGGTCACTGGCACTTGTCCTATTCAAGTGTGTGCAGCAGACCGAAAGTATTAGTTGACCAATCTGTAGCCCTTTCCACTTTGGAAAGTGCCATTCGTCACTGGGAAGCCTGTCCCTGCCCCGTGGTCTTTCCATTTCTTGTGCTCCTCCAACACGCTGTTTGAATTCTCAGTGAATGTCCCCAGGAGCTTTTTGGAGGCAGAACAGGGATGTTAAGCTCAGTAGCTTCAAACCTGCTGAAGTGCCAGGGCAGTAACTCTCAGTGTAGTCCACAGACCCTGCCTTGCAGTCATCACAGGTGCTTATTGACAAGCAGATTCCCATACCTGCAGTGGGGGGAGTGCAGATTCCTGGGCCCATCCCAAGGAACAGAAAAGTGCAGCATTGGGATCAAGGGCTGTCTCCTCTGATGGCCTGGAGCGTACACCTAGACAATGGGGAGTGGTGCCTTTGCACTGATGCCTACTGCTGCATCTGCTGAATTTCCTAATTATGAGATGATGTCTTTCCTCCAACAATGTGTCCGCTAGCCTCATCCCCAGGGAGTCCAATTTAGCTCTTAGTAGAGTCTCCTTGCGGTAAAGGTAAGTCTCTCCCTAATCTTTCAGGAGTCAGGCAGGGCTTTGCAGTGTTTCTCAAAACATGATGAGTTATAGGACCTGCTCCCTGTCCTCACCTGGTTTGTAATTTAGACAAGAAGCACTTCTAAAACCACAAACATTGAAATCCAAATTCCAGGCCATAGAAGTGGAGCCCCCATGCTGCAGTGCCTGGTCAGGCCCATGATGTGTTGTGTATAGTGGACATGGTCTGTGCCCACTGGCCCAGTCCCCATTCAGTTGTGCTTTGAGGCTGGAACAGTGATTTTACAAAGTCAAAAAATGTCACCAAAAACTCCAGCTTGTCTTAAAAACCCCAGAGGTATAGCAGTACTGGGCTCAAATCCCTGCATGGTAACAGTCAGAAGCCCCCTTCCCTCAGGTGGACTGTGGCCACCCCTTCTGCAGAGCTGTGTTGTGTCTAAGCTAACAGCAGGGCGGGGTTCAGGTCCTGGCCCCACCATGGCCTTGCACAGATTGTCTGACCTCTCTGCACATCTGAGCAGTGGCAGTCCCTCCCTCCTGGACTTGTGAGGGTTCAATGAGTAAGTCGTGTGAAAGGCTGGGCACAGGGCCTGGTTCATAGGAAACACCAATAATTGTTATTATCTCAACTCCTCTCTGCCTGCCTCTGGGAAGTGTTTACATGTTTGATTGTGGGTCAGAGGAAGGAAAGCCCTCCATAGCCTGTGAGGATTGATGGATATTTCAGAGGAGCTGAACTTGGGCCTGAACTGTCA